CTAGTTTTTCCTGGTGATTCACCCACCATCTCATTTTCTGTCTTTTCATCCAGTTGGGGCACACTCATTACCTGCTGCATGTGTTCCTTTTGCTCCCTCAAAAGTGGGAGCTCTATTGTTTTCAATGCATGGTTCAACTAGTTGGTAAGTACTACCTTATTTGTGATATATCAGTGCCTAGAATGCCATACAGTACTATAGATGTGGTCTCACCAGCACTGTGACGTTGTGTATTTGCATATACAGTCCCAAACTGGCTTTTATTTACTTCTATGTTACCTAGAAAGCATATATCTACTATTCTCTATGCCCTCCCTCCACCTCTACTGAGAATTTAGTTTAATTAGCTTGCACTAGTAAACTAGCCTATCTTCATTCCAGAAGAAGCGAGAAGAGCTCCTCCTATGCCTAACCATTTTTATTCCTCCTCTCCTTTTTTCCCCCACTTCCCCTTTCAGCTCCCCTAGAGGTCTTCATGTTCCCTCTCCATTTTTTCCTTTTGACCCCACCATCCCCAGGGTTCCACGTTGTACAATCTTCCCGTTGATAACTAGATATACAGCTCGTTCAAGTTAGCAATCTTGCTCCAGTCATGTACTTCTGGGGTCCTACTGGTTTTGGCACTACATCAACAGTAATCAGACCCTGGCTGACCTAAGATTCAAGGGACCAGTGCCCTTCTTCTTTCATAGCATTAGGCCAGTGCTGTTCTTGCACACAACACCTGCCCAGCATTAACAGGGTGAAACTGACAAGGATCAAGGCACACTGTTCTGAAGCAAGACTTCTTTCACTCACTATGGAAAAGCCAAATGCCAATGATGCTGCCAGTTTCTGCCACACCCTGGCATTTCTTAAAGATCTTTCCACAAATATTGCCCAGGAATCTAAATACAATGAAATGTGCCCTATAAATATTACCAGCTAGATTATGATTAAAGATAAGGCTGGCCCTAATTTGCCTGAGGTCTGGAAATATCACAAATTAAGCCATAACAATAAAGTGATCGATAATATGCTCAATATACTACACTGATCTAAAAGGGTTGAAACTGCTTAAATTAGAGACCATGTAGTTACTCGAGGTCCAGGCTTATTTCTGGTTATTATTTTACATTGTTTCAAGTGCATGGTCCCGAGTATTTTTTTTTTAATGCAAATTTTTTGCTGTTCTTTAACTCTTCAGAGAATGGAGCCATTTGATTGTTTTGTTTTCCTAATTCTACCCCGATACAAACTCAGTCAAAAATCAGCTTTAGAATGATTTTTTAATTCTGTACTCCATTTCAAGTATCTTTATTCAGACTATTACAACACGTCATATATTATTGCTATATGATAATCATTTGTTGCTGAAATTTCTTTCCTTGCCAATGACACAAAAAAGAAAATTTAGTTAGTGAAAGGAACAACCAAAAGTATACATATTTACAGTCCTATTAACTTGGCATGCAAATGGCAAAAACTTGAAAGTCAAACACACACAAAATTATTAAAACTTGAAAACTAATGCAAACATTTTTAAAGCGTATAAGAATCTGCTCTTTAATGAGAGAGAGAAAGAGGATTTTGTAGCCAACATTTTATCCCAGAAGCTCCAAAGATGGCTATTTTATTTTATTCTTAAGGACAGCTACACAGTGCATGCTTACAAACACATCAACAAATCTCTTAATACTCATATGTTGGTAACAATTCATGAGGAATGTCATTTCATAAAAGAAAATTTCCTATGCTAAACAAAAACAAGCAAGTTTTTAATGGAAGCGGCTTGACATATTTAACTGTTATATCTGCTTTCAATAAATAGTGCGACCTTAGGCCAGGATCCTGCACATATTTATGCACTTGTTTAACTTTACTCCCCCGAATGCTCCAGTTACTACTCACAGTAGTAAAATTAAGAACATGCAGAAGTGTTTGCAGAGGCAGGGTCTTGATGACTAATAACTACTCTGATAAGAGGAAGCTAATAATGGGTGTTTATATGCATCTATCACACTCAGATTACCCCTTCTAACTTCTAAGAAGAATCCCTACAGTTGCCTTTGAAGTTGTAAGAAGTTTGTTTTCATTTCCAATTATTTTAAGTATAAGAGGGAATTCCGAGCTGCTATTTTTGATTCCCTCTATATGCAAGGAGAACCTATACAGGGGTATATGAACATTTCAAAGTCTTATTTCATTTTAAGATATCTTCTTTATACACCGTTTATTGTGGTCTTAATATGGTTGGCCACATGTAAAATAAAATGTCAGTATAAGCCTAAAAACATAAAACTAAAATATGATTTCCCCAAAATCAACACAACATACTCTAGAATGTAGGCTACCTTGAATATTGATGTTTGTCAGGGCTAAATATTCTGTATTTCATGCCTTGTGCTTTACAACATATTCAAGATGGTTTTATTATAGTCTAACATATCCCTCCTGTGCTATTGCTTACTTAATTTTTTTAAAAAATTTTCTATATGGTTTCTCCTTCCCACACACTGTCTACCATATACAGTGTTCTTTCTTCCCTTCTGTTTCAATTTGTTTCTACTTCCCAAGACATGCTGGCTTGACTCACGTTTGGAAGTGCTTGTAAAGTGAAATTAACATGAGAATTCTGCTCCTGAAAACGTGCTTCAGTGAGCAGGAGTCCTGTTTTAATCGATTCTACAAATGCCTTCATACAGAAGCAGAGCACACAGGTTCAGCAGGTAAATGAAGCTCATACACAGAGACGTATTTTCATACGAGTTTTCAGGTATGCAACCATTCATTTTCATTAGAACAAAGTTACAACACTGAAATTAAAAAATTACATAAAGGTAAGACAAGCATCTGCCGAACAAACTTGAAAGTATTCCTTTAAAGTTCTTGTATACAATACGGAGTATTTCACAAGTATACAAAGCTCTGAGAAAACACAGCCATTAACAGAGACAGCCGCAGGTGAGATACTGTGGGAAAACTGCCCAGTATTTCCCAGAATGCACTCCCTTAAAAGGTTAGGCAGTGCTAAGTTGGACACAAAAATAACTGTGCTAGAAAAAAAGCTGCTGTGTAGACACAGATAAAAACTCAACCCATTAAACTCAACCCGTTAAAGCTGAATTTTTCAAAGTGTTGGGTATGAACTGCTTTGGGGAGGAGGCAGAATAGTGGCTCACAATGCAAGGTTAAATGGAGAGTGAGAAATAGTTTATTTTTCCTAAAGAGGAGCTCTTTGTAATGTGCATGGGACCTAAAAGTCTGCATAGCCTCTGCTGCTATTAAGATTTCACAATTTTGTAAGTTTTCACAATTACTATTCAGAAACTTGGAATGACCATGAAACCAACAAAAATCATACTAAATTACTCTGCTGCTGCCTGAGAAAACTGGAGAGAAGGACTTGAACCACAGAGGTTGGGATAACAGAGTAAAGCAGAAGATTCTCTTCCAGTCACTACTGCAAGCAGCTAAGAGCAGAAGAAAGGCTACAGTGATGAAGACCTCACAGTGGCCAAGATGCTTGTAGGATCACAGAATTATTCTTCTCCCTTCCTAGCGGTGTGCACATATGCTTCAGTCACATTCACTCACAAGCACATGGCTAGCGCCTGAATGCATTGTTCAGAGATATACAGATAACTAAGTTATCCGGCACAATGGAGTAGTCCCACGGAGGATTAGATATGGTACTCAGCAGTTTTAATTGCACCACTTGAATTCTGGTATCTGTGACATCCCTGAATAAACCTTTTTCACATAACAATCACTCTATATCTGAACTCTCAGTCCTCGTCCTGCACACCTTCACTAGAAGAGCCTGAGAGCTTAAATTCATAACTTTGCTAGACACTAAAAATCATGGTCTTAATAAAGATACTTGACTGATGACTTATTACAACAATCTGTAATGCACTAAGCCCCCTTTCTTGTCCTATGACTAAAGCTGCGAGTCCCTCATGGAGGTCACAGATTCTTTTGCAGCGGGACTTTTGCAGCGGCTGGCGAGTCTCGGTTCCCAGCCAACGGGAGCTGCGGGGCTGGCGCTCAGGGCAGAGGCAGCACACAGAGCCCCCTGGCCGCCAGCCTGGAGCCTACCAGCCCTGCCAAACCTTTTCCCCCAGCCCCCACCGCCAGCACCAGCGTGGGTCCTGGGTCGCATGCTGCCGCGCACCCTCGGCATCTCCGGGCCACCTCCCCCCGAGCACCCTCAGAACCCCCATCTGCCCCCACACCCCCAGAGCACCCAAGATTTAGTCAGGGATATATAGTACAAGTCATGGACAGGTCATGCGCTGTGAATTATTGTTTACTGCCCATGAGCGGTCCATGACTTTTACTAAAAATACCTGTGACTAAAACATAGCCCTACCCATGACCCCAGGGGTGTTAATGGGCCACTTCACCTTGAATGTTCCCTTAGAATGTGTTTACCACTGATGTTAACAATCTGTTCCACCTTGCATTTAGCTGTGACACTCTCGGTACCTTTCCCAGACCTGAGGAAGAGCTCTGTGGAACTCAAAAGCTTGTCTCTCTCACCATCAGAGGTTGGTCCAGTAAAAGATATTACCTCATTCACCTTGCACCTCTAATCTTCTGGGACCAACATGGCTACAACAACACTGCAAATCATTGAATAATCACTCTGAGAAGCCAGAGTGATTTAAAGCAGTTTGAAAAAATGCTGGAGACCAAAAATAATTATATTTAAATGGTTTAAAATTAGATATGTACTGAAAATTGTCTCTGTACCACTTGCTATTTGGGACATTAAGTACATTAAAAATATTGTAATTTTTGAGAAAATATTTCAGTTCACCTTTAATATTAAGCAAGTTATACAATGTGCAAACCGAAAAGGACAAAAAGTCCTAATGTCGGCCAAAATGGAAAGGAAAGAAAATCTAACAAGCTTCTAAAATATTATAAACAATGGAATATGTTATTTTAAAAAAATACTATCGTGTTTGACAGAATCCTTTTAATTAAAAAGAAGAGGAGAGAAACATACTCACCGTTATCTTTGCTACTGTTTTCTTCAATTGTCATTTGTTCTGCCAGCTCAGACAGTGACTCATCAATAGTCTGGCTTCCACGCAAGGTTAGGGAAAGTCTCCTCTTAAACTTTTTCATTCTATCAATGATCAGTCTGGCTTAAGGAAGCCTGTACAAAAAAAGGAGGGAGTGGAATTCCATTATTATATAAAAAATATAGGATATTAGTAGAACTGAGTTACTGAGCACACTGCTACAATCCAAAAAACAAATAAAAACTTGAGTTGCAAAATAAATAAATAAATGAAATATCAAATGCGGGAAATATTGCAGATGGTTTACTTGTATACACATGATCTTTTGGCTTATTATGTCTTTTTTACTGGAATTTAAAATACAAAAAATCACATTTTAGGTTTTGAAATTAAGACAAATACTCATGTCAGCACTTAACCATTTCTACTACATAGCCTATATACAAAAAATTGTATCAAGTAATTTGTACACCATTTTAAGAATTTGTGAATTAGAAATATGTTCAGAGAATGACTACTAAAATTGTTAGCGAGTAATTTTACAAGTTAAGGCACTGTTTATTTTACAATATAAAGCACCAAATTAATACTGAAAACAATTTCTAAATAGATATAGCAAGCTATATGTGCCCAAATAAATAACTGATGAAGAGAGCTGCAGATTATAGTTTTACAAGGTAGGTGATTTTTACATAAATAGTTTGTACCTTTAAAACATCCCATATTAGTTTCCATGTAATTTGCACACTACACTGGATTTGTGTTTATACCAGTATCTTACTAGGGTTCTGATCCTGCATCGGGATCCACCAGTACAGATCCTGTGTCCATGCAGAGACCCAGTGAAAACAAATGAAGAACTGAAAAAGCTAAAATCGGAGAAAATAATATTTTTTCTCTAATTTCTTTCACTTTAATAGTTGTGTGGGTTACTACTATTGTGGAAATGTGATTTTTAATTTGAGGTCTCCTTTTAAAAAATATTTGCATTTTTATTATTAATGAAGACCTCTCTTTTAGTCTTTGATTTTATTAAAACTATTTATTTATTTATTTTTAATTTTGGGCAGATTTTAAATTGACTTCATTGACTCTGCATTTGCAGATCCTGAGATAAGATCAGGGCCTATAATTTACTGTTAAAAATTAAAACAAGTTGGAGAATAAACACTGGATTTATATTTATTATAAGAACACTCCTTAAACCTGGCACAAGTTTAAAAACAAGTTTCCACAAAATAAATTAATATGTTTCCACAATTTTGTTTTTTAAAATTCCAATGAGAAATTTTTAAAAATGTCAATTTAATCACATTTCCATATGAATTTTTTTTTAGATTTACAAATGACACAAGTAGCTACAAATATTATAAAAAATTAGAGAAAATATTATTTTCTCTTTTTCAGTATGTTTCCTTTGTGTATTTGGAAACACGCTGTACATAGTCAAAAGAAAAGGAGTACTTATAGCACCTTAGAGACTAACCAATTTATTTGAGCATGAGCTTTCGTGAGCTACAGCTCACTTCATCAGATGTATACCGTGGAAACTGCAGCAGACTTTATATACACACAGAGAATATGAAACAATACCTCCTCCCACCCCACTGTCCTGCTGGTAATAGCTTATCTAAAGTGATCATCAGGTGGGCCATTTCCAGCACAAATCCAGGTTTTCTCACCCTCCACCCCCCCCACACAAATTCACTCTCCTGCTGGTGCTAGCCCATCCAAAGTGACAACTCTTTACATAATCAAGTCGGGCTATTTCCTGCATAAATCCAGGTTTTCTCACATCCCCCCCACCCCCATACACACACAAACTCACTCTCCTGCTGGTAATAGCTCATCTAAACTGACCACTCTCCAAGTTTAAATCCAAGTTAAACCAGAACATCTGGGGGGGGGGGGGGGTGTTAGGAAAACACAAGAGGAAACAGGCTACCTTGCATAATGACTTAGCCACTCCCAGTCTCTATTTAAGCCTAAATTAATAGTATCCAATTTGCAAATGAATTCCAATTCAGCAGTTTCTCGCTGGAGTCTGGATTTGAAGTTTTTTTGTTTTAAGATAGCGACCTTCATGTCTGTGATTGCGTGACCAGAGAGATTGAAGTGTTCTCCGACTGGTTTATGAATGTTATAATTCTTGACATCTGATTTGTGTCCATTTATTCTTTTACGTTGAGACTGTCCAGTTTGACCAATGTACATGGCAGAGGGGCATTGCTGGCACATGATGGCATATATCACATTGGTGGATGTGCAGGTGGACTACAAGCCGTCAAGAACACTATCCCCGATAATGTCACGGCTAACCTGGTGGCTGAACTTTGTGACTTTGTCCTTACCCATAACTATTTCACATTTGGGGACAATGTATACCTTCAGATCAGCGGCACTGCTATGGGTACCCGCATGGCCCCACAGTATGCCAACATTTTTATGGCTGATTTAGAACAACGCTTCCTCAGCTCTCGTCCCCTAAAGCCCCTACTCTACTTGCGCTATATTGATGACATCTTCATCATCTGGACCCATGGAAAAGAAGCCCTTGAGGAATTCCACCACGATTTCAACAATTTCCATCCCACCACCAACCTCAGCCTGGTCCAGTCCACACAAGAGATCCACTTCCTGGACACTACAGTGCTAATAAACAATGGCCACATAAACACCACCCTATACCGGAAACCTACTGACCGCTATTCCTACCTACATGCCTCCAGCTTTCACCCTGACCACACCACACGATCCATCGTCTACAGCCAAGCTCTGCGATACAACCGCATTTGCTCCAACCCCTCAGACAGAGACAAACACCTACAAGATCTCTGTCAAGCTTTCTTACAACTACAATACCCACCTGCAGAAGTAAAGAAACAGATTGATAGAGCCAAAAGAGTTCCCAGAAGTTACCTACTACAGGACAGGCCTAACAAAGAAAATAACAGAACGCCACTAGCGGTCACCTTCAGCCCCCAACTAAAACCCCTCCAACGCATTATTAAGGATCTACAACCTATCCTAAAGGATGACCCAACACTCTCACAAGTCTTGGGAGACAGGCCAGTCCTTGCCTACAGACAGCCCCGCAACCTGAAGCAAATACTCACCAACAACCACATACCACACAACAGAACCACTAACCCAGGAACTTATCCTTGCAACAAAGCCCGTTGCCAATTGTGCCCACATATCTATTCAGGGGACACCATCACAGGGCCTAATAACATCAGCCACACTATCAGAGGCTCGTTCACCTGCACATTCACCAATGTGATATATGCCATCATGTGCCAGCAATGCCCCTCTGCCATGTACATTGGTCAAACTGGACAGTCTCAACGTAAAAGAATAAATGGACACAAATCAGATGTCAAGAATTATAACATTCATAAACCAGTCGGAGAACACTTCAATCTCTCTGGTCACGCAATCACAGACATGAAGGTCGCTATCTTAAAACAAAAAAACTTCAAATCCAGACTCCAGCGAGAAACTGCTGAATTGGAATTCATTTGCAAATTGGATACTATTAATTTAGGCTTGAATAGAGACTGGGAGTGACTTAGTCATTATGCAAGGTAGCCTGTTTCCTCTTGTTTTTTCCTAACACCCCCCCCCCCCCCAGATGTTCTGGTTTAACTTGGATTTAAACTTGGAGAGTGGTCAGTTTAGATGAGCTATTACCAGCAGGAGAGTGAGTTTGTGTGTGTATGGGGGTGGGGGGGATGTGAGAAAACCTGGATTTATGCAGGAAATAGCCCGACTTGATTATGTAAAGAGTTGTCACTTTGGATGGGCTAGCACCAGCAGGAGAGTGAATTTGTGTGTGGGGGGTGGAGGGTGAGAAAACCTGGATTTGTGCTGGAAATGGCCCACCTGATGATCACTTTAGATAAGCTATTACCAGCAGGACAGTGGGGTGGGAGGAGGTATTGTTTCATATTCTCTGTGTATATATAAAGTCTGCTGCAGTTTCCACGGTATACATCTGATGAAGTGAGCTGTAGCTCACGAAAGCTCATGCTCAAATAAATTGGTTAGTCTCTAAGGTGCTACAAGTACTCCTTTTCTTTTTGCGAATACAGACTAACACGGCTGTTCCTCTGAAACCTGTACATAGTCAGAATCACTGTTCTGTTGAAGGTCAGTTTAGCACTTCCTATCTCGGAGGTGCAACAATTCTCCAGAAAGGGCAATATTTTTGGAGTTTAGTGTACCCATCCTACACACACCCACATCATATATCATCTGAAAGCTTATTTTATGTACATTTTGATGAGGTATGATGTGAGACTATCAAGTGGTGTGGTAAGCCAACAGCTGAGGAGACACAATGGTACCCAAAATGAGAAAGTGTCATTTTTGGTGCAGAAACACTTCAACATGACTGACTACAGTTTACACTTTAAGTTAATTTCAACATCTTAATGTTCTGTTTTCCGGTCAAAGATAGCAAACGACAATGTATTAAAAAATCTGGTGTTGCATGGGCTAGTATTTACTTCCAGAAATGATGAGCTGTTTAGCAAAAATGGTGAATATCAACAATTTGCAATATACTAACACAAAATGTTTTCACATTGCATGTTCATAATTGTCATAGTATCTCCTCCTGATAATAGTTTTCTATATTTTCAACTAAAATTTGCTGACCAGATCTTTCTCATACCGAAGACTGTGCACAAGTGGCAGTAGATTACCTGGCATAATTTGTACTGAAGAACTGATAGCTATCATAGAATCACAGGATTGGAAGGGACCTTGAGAGGTCACCTCGTTCAGTCTCCTGCACTCATGACAGGACTGAGTATTATCTAGACCATCTCTGACAGGTGTTTGTCTAACCTGCTCTTAAAAATCTCCAATGATAGAGATTCCACCACCTCCCTAGGCAATTTATTCCAGTGCTTAACCACCCCGACAGGAAGTTTTTCCTAATGTCCAAACTAAACCTCCCTCGCTGCAATTTGAGCCCATTGCTTCTCATCCTATCCTCAGACCTTGGGGGGGGGGAATTCTCCCTTCTCCTTGTAACATCCTTTTACATACTTGAAAAGTGTTGTCTCCTCTCAGTCTTCTCTTTTCCAGATTAAACAAACCTGATTTTTTCAATCTTCCCTCACAC